ATTGGGGGGATTAAAAAATAATAGTAAATGTTTGGAGGAGGGAGTAAATAAAAGGTTTGTGAATAATTATTGTTTAAATGTTTGTTGAAATTGTTGGGAGGGAAAGTTATTCTGATATGATTATATTTTACAATGTTACAAATTCTGAATTGTAAAAACAACAAATTCTGATTTTTCTTAATTGTAAATTCTGATTTTTTAAAATTACAAATTCTGAATTGTAAAAATTACAAATTCTGATTTTTCTTAATTGTAAATTCTGATTTTTTAAAATTACAAATTCTGATTTTTTAAAATGTAAATTCTGAATTGTAAAAACAACAAATTCTGATTTTTCTTAATTGTAAATTCTGATTTTTTAAAATTACAAATTCTGATTTTTTAAAATGTAAATTCTGAATTGTAAAAACAACAAATTCTGATTTTTCTTAATTGTAAATTCTGATTTTTTAAAATTACAAATTCTGATTTTTTAAAATGTAAATTCTGAATTGTAAAAACAACAAATTCTGATTTTTCTTAATTGTAAATTCTGATTTTTTAAAATTACAAATTCTGATTTTAAATATAAACAAAAATAATATTTTCATTATTCTGATATTAACAGCATTTAAATAAAATTAATAAATTAAAAATTCTGATTAATTTAATTAGAAAAAATTAAAAATAATTAAAAATAAAACATCTACTTAAGTTTGGATTTTAGAAATTTAAATTTTTTTTGAATAAAATAAAATAATTTTATTTTAATTATATTTTACTCAAAATTGTGCTTTTTTATTAAAATGAGATTTTTATAAAAAGAAATTTTTTGGAGAGATAAATTTTAAAAAAGAGGGATTTTTTTCATCATGGGAGAACGGGTTTGAAAGCTAAACTAATAAAAATTTTACTTAAATTTTTGGAAAAAAATTTTTCATGTTCGTGGTTTAGAGAATTAAATATTTAGTATATTCTTTAACCGAAAATGGAAAATAAAATAATTTTTTTAGGGAAAAGAGGGGAGAGAGAGAAAGAAGGATTTATGTATGTATATGAGGTAAATCAAGTAAGTAATAATAAAAGTTTGTTCACCTTGAAAAAAAAATTTTTTTGATTAAAAAGAAATGTTGTGAAGTAACATCTCTAAAATTTAAAATTATGAGGGAATGAAGGGGTTGGGAATGAAGGGTTAATAAACATTTTAAAATTTAAGCACGAACCTAAGCAGTTTGGGATGAGGTAGATAGAAGAAATAACGGGATAACAACGTAAGGCGACTTCGAGAACAGAAAGTTGGCCAAATGAAGAAAATTTTGGGTTGTGGTAGTGGAAATAATGTAGAGAATTAGCGTCAATATTTTTAGACTAAAAAATACTTTTCTACATTTATTTCTGAAAAAGTTAAATGTTTACTATCTTCATATGTAAGGTTGGACATTGGTTTTTTAACCCCAAGGCCCGTACAATAGCACTAAATTCGATTGTATAATTAGAGTAGCAATCCGACCCTTCGTTGTCGATCTGTCGGGGACTGTGCTTCGAAATTACAGAATTGCAGGTACTCGTACTTCGCACCAAATACGAGTACAAATTTTGGTATGAAAGTCGAAGCACTAGCCGAGGATCGGGTTTTGCTGGGGAGGGCATGTAAGTGTTCGGGGTCGGAGGACTGGGCAGGTAGAGGGTTTTTGCCAAAAAAATCGACGGAGTCGAAGTTTAGGGGAGAGGTATAAGCACAAATATTTACCTATTTACTTTAATAAAGTAACAATCTTTTAAAGATATTTTTAGACTTTATAGTAAACAATAATGTAAACATGAAATAAGATTAGTTGAAAATTGGCAAGAAATTTTTCCATCAAAATACAAAAAAAAATAAAAATTTTAAATAAGGGAAATTGCCAATTATTATTTGGCAAATGTTTGCCAAGATTTTTAATGAGAGAAAGAAATTTAGAAAAAAAAGTTTTGCACTTTTGTGTATATGAAATTTGTATTTTTAAAAAGAAATTATTTAGAAAGCTAAGTTTAACGAAAGGACTGGTAGTCTAGTCGAGAATCGCACAAAATATCTCGAAAAATCTCGATCTCGAAACCGAGATATTTTTATTCGAGATCACGTCGCAGTTAGTCTCTAAACAAGTTATTCAAGTAAATTTTGGTTGGTATCGGAGAAAGGTTGGAAAGCAAAAATTTAAACAACAAGAAATTGAATACCGAGGCGGAAATTGGACTCCTGACAAAACTCTGATTGAAAGTTTCATGTAATCGAGAAAAAGTTAAATTTTGTTGCCATTGGGAGATGGATGAATAGAAGCCAGAAGCCATCATGGAATGAACCAAGATGGAAGTAAAACCGAAACTGTGCCACCAACCAATGCTTGGAAATTAAAGATTTGTTCGGGCCTCGTACCAAATACAGGAATTTTGATAAGAGTGTCCAAGAATTGTATTGGTAGCACGAGAATCGTGCAAGATATCTCAAAAAATCTCGAGCTCGATAACCGAGTCGCAATAATTTATTTAGTTAAATTTATTTTTCAGCAAGTATGGACACGAAAGAATTTAAAAAAATTTATACAAAATAATTACTTTCAATAAATATTAAATTGTTTGTGTGTCGTTGGCACTCGCAATAATTTATGTATGTAGATTTAAATAAAAGTAAATACAATTTTTATAAAATTATTTTCCCTTTAATTTAAAAACCTTTCGACATTTATAAAATAATTAGAGAATTTACACTTTTTTGTAGTTTTAAAGGAAATAATTTTTATAAAATATATACATACATATTTATGCACTTTTGCCATGTAAATATAGTAAAGCAGCTGGGCTATAGCTATTTCTCTCCTTTAGCTAGTGCAAAAGGTTTTTCGGCGGCTGGGAGCGAACCAGCATCTTCAGTAGACCGGACTGATGTGTTAGCCATTACACCACGCCGCCTACTGCATAGCCTTAAGAATTAAGTAGCTATATGCTTTACAATATTTAAAAAAATAAAAATTGTTATAAGGAAAAAAATTTTTGTAAAAAAATTTGGGGATATTTACAAATAAATTTTAAAAAAATATGAAAGACAAAAAGATGGAAAGAAACGGAATAAAATTTAAAAATTGTAAGACGGCAGGAGGTGGTGGACGAGTTTAAAAACCCCCGGAATTTGTGACAGAAACAGAAAAAAAATAAAATAAAACATCAATTTTAAAATTAATATGTATAATTAAAAGCATCAATTAATGAAACATCAATTTACCTTTGGTAATGAAGAATGAGGGTTAGAAGTCCGGCCTATAAAGGGTTAATTGAAAGAGAAAATGTTCAATATTTAAGAAAATTATAAAAATTTTTAAAAATTTCGAAAATCAAAATTTCGGGTCGGTCTGCTTTGACCATCACTTATTGGCATACTTTTCTATGTTTTTTAACGTCAATAAATTAAATGTAGACATTTTATATTGAAATACTTTTACTTTAACTTTAAATAACAAAATCCTAATCCTTTCCATTTTTGTAAATTACAAAAAAAATAGTTAAAGCTAAAAGGGATAAAATTAGCAAAGAAAATATTGCAGATTAATTATGTAGAAAGTAAGGATAAAAAGAAACAAGAATAAATAAAAGGGTAAAAAATAAAAATTAAGATTGTTAAGAAAATAGGAAAAATAATTTTTTTGAAATTTTAAGCGTTTAAAATTTAATTTTTGTCGTCAAATTTTCATTTTTAAAAAATTACACATCTTTATCCTCAAAACTAATTCCAACGATTTTTTAATGATTTTTTGTTTTATTCGATAGTTTTTTCATTTAAAAAAATTGAGAATTGACGTCGACAAAAAAATTTTTTTATAAAATATAACGAATAAAATAAATACATAATTAGATTTTTATAAATTCCTCAATTAAAAATTAAACAAATAAATTAAAACAAAAAAATAATATTGAAAATAAACATCACACCGTTTTAAAAATATATTGCTTGGCGTTTGGTGCGCCACGGTTAAATTTTGGTGCACAGCCCTGAGCCTAAGGTAATTGTTAGCAAATCAACAAGTAATTGTTAGCAAATCTTGTTCAATCACAATATTCTGGTGTTATTCGACAACTCGAAGAGCTCTTTCGAAAGAGGTATTATTTGCATATTCAAATTTTTTTACCCCAAAATTATCTTACTCCCCCAACATCCTCTCCTATTGTTTTTCGATTTTCGAGGACCTATATCTTTGTTCACAGGCATCTCCGAAATAAAAGACTGGTACTGCTCGACTAAGCACCTTATATTACCTTATATGACATTTTGAGCACAAATATAGGGGGTGTGGCAGAACCGAAAAGTATCCAGCTATTTTATAGAAATGTCTAGAAAAGAGGAAAATTCGTGAAAAAACAAGAACATCAAAAAGTCTTATAATTAAAATAGTATATTTTTAACAAATAAATTTTCAACAATTTTAAACGAGGTATTTTTAAAAACAAAAAATTAAATATTAACTAAATTGTTATTTTAAATAAAAATTCAAAAAATTAAATTTTCTAAACCTTCCATTCCAAAAAAAGTTAAATATTAAAATTGAAGTGTTAAAAACAATAAAAGTTAAGTTTGTACGAAAAAAAAGCAAAATATTGCAGAAAATAAAAATAAAAAGAAAAAACAATTTATAGAAAAAATAAAGACACAAAGCGATGGGCAGTATATTTCCGGAAAGTTGTATTAATGTGTTTTCCGGAAAATATAACCGGAATGTTTGGGAATGTCTATTGCAGAAATATAAATTCCGGAAAGTTTATATTTATGGAAGATATAAATAAATATAAATATATTCCGGAAGTAATATATTAGATAACATAAAAGGACATTTACGATAGGTAAATAGAATTCCGGAAAGTTGTAAAATATATTTAAATGCATAAAAATATTATTTTAAAGAGGTAACATCAAATATTAAATTATGTTTTAAAAAATTTCAAAAATATACAATATTACCCTAATTTTCTTTTTAAAAAATTTTAAGACGGTCCAAGTATATTTCTATTAACAATTAAAAAATTAAGTAGAACATGTTGCTAAAAAATTATTTTTTAATAAATTAATTTAAAATTTACCTGATTGGGAAGTGCAGGAAATGGAAAATTTCCAGTGCAAAAAATTGTTGGGCTAAATATTGTACTGAGATTCTCTGCACTGAAAAAAGAAAATGTAAAAAAAATTTTTTTCTTCTCCAACCTCATTTTATTTTCTGTTGAATTATTTGCTATTTTTCTTAAATGGGCCAAAAGTGTTCTAAATTTAATTTTTAAAAGATTTAAAAAATTTTTAAACCTCAAGGTATCCTTATTTGCTTCGTTTAATTCGTCCAATGCACTCCTAAAAAAGATAAATTCTATAATAAGAAAATTTTAGAGTAACATTACAACCCCCTTAATGTTAGATACATATTTTTGGGATTTAAATAATTGTTGGTAGATTTGGAGAGACTTAATAATGTATGTATTTGTGTGAAGGATGAATTGTAGATGTCGGAGTTATTTGGTTCAATTTTAGTTTCCTCCTACTTAACCCTGTTCACAATAGTCAAACTAGAGACAGCAAAACGTGATGTCGATCGTAAATCTCGGTTATCTAGATCGAGAAACGATACTCCCAGTCGATCTCTAGTCATAAAGAAGTATAGCTAATACATATTGGATTCGAGCCAGAGTTTCCTGGCTAAAAGACTAGGAAAATCGGATTTTATAAAAAACGATCTATTTCCGGGTAACGAGCGCAATAGTACAAACGGAATCACTCTCCTAAATTTTTAACAAAATTTTACCGGCAATTCCTAATTCTTTCCAAATTTTCCATACTGCTTGTATATCCCTTCAAAAGTGCTCGAAATACACTAAATGGTACCTTAATTTAAAATTAATTTTAAAATTAAATTAAAAAACCAATTGTTGGGGGAGAAGTCGAAGATATAACTTTAAAAGGCCGGCAACTTAAAAAAATAAAATTATAAAGGTAAAAAATTTAAACAAAGACCTGTATGTATGTCTTCTTCTTGAGATAATTCTACATTATGAGATAAATCGTATTGTCTTCTAAGTTTGTCTATGCGTTCAAATGAACCAGAAACTCTTAAAATTTTCAAGAAAATTATTTTTTTTAAATAAATTAAATTTTGAAATTAAGTCTGTAAAGGAACGTAAAAATCGTAAAATTCGAGACAATTTTAGAATATTTTCCAACTCTTTCCAGTGCACAGCCATGAAAATTTTTTCCGAGGCTTCTGGGCAGTCTCAAAAAAAAGACCTCCTCTCCACATTATCATCAGAGAACAACCCTCCCTTATTTAAAACAAAGAATCGTGGAACAAGAGATGCTGATAAGACAAACGTAAATTAATATAAAAATAATGAATCGGTCCAGCAAAGCGAGGAAAGGTAAACTTTCAAAAATAGCCCGTATTTCAAAAAAAAACATTTTTTAATTAAATTCTTAAACCTATAAATTCCTTCAACATTTATTCCACGTCTTTCTACCTCATCTATACAATGTAGTAAAGGAGTTGGTACACGCACTCCATGTGCTAAACCTTTAAAATTATTTGTAAAAAGTCAAAAAACCAAAAAAATACAAAGTGTTGTTAAATCAACAGCAAACATTCTTTTAATATATTTTGCTTCTGGACGGCAATCTGGACGTGATTTTTCACTACATTTGAGATGAGCTGAGAAACCACAATCCAAACAACGGACACCCTAAATTTTTAAAATAAATCGCTCACCAAAACAGTCCTAAATTCAATTTTTCTTTAAAAAATCCAAAACCTGTTGCACCAATCCCCAAAGAAAATTTCTACAAAAATCACAATAATGCGGCATTTTGAACGTAAAAGAAGTAAAATTGTGACATCGAGGAGCTATTTGACGTTGTTTGTCAGAATTGTCAAGTTCTGGTGCTCGATGATAATGAGAGTAGGGGCCTAAAAGTAAATTTTGGTGAGAAAATAAGATGGCATTTAAAATGATAAATAGACCCACTAAGTTCATAAACAGCCTCATCCGCCATCTAAAAAAATTTTTTTTAGATTAAAAAATTCTAAAAATCAAAAACATACGCTATTAATGTAGCTAGAAGCATGTTCCGCTACATACATGTTTATGAGTCCATCTTCTACCAAAATTTCGATCGAATCATATCTTTAAAAGATTTTAATTAAAATAATTTCAAAGTAAACCTTGTAAGTTAATAAAAAATAAATAATACCTTTTAATCCCAACATAATGGGCACCATCATAAAATAATTTATAATTTTGTACAACCCCTTCAAAAACAACATGAAGCGTAAAAGCACCTTCAGAACGTCTAGAAGCACGAACTAAAAATGCTCCTTCGCCCACTGCTAATACAAGCTTAAAAATAAATTTTAGGATTTAAAAAATGCTAATAAATGAACGGTAGACTGACAAAAGATTTTAATATTTTTGGATTGAATTGAAAGGAAACCCCTAGTTTTGACTATTATACTCGAGGATATAAAAGGGAAGGGAGCAGTACCTGGAAAGGGGACACGCCCAAGTAGTTGCGCGGCCATAACGGCGCAAAGCCATAACTTGCTTGAAAATTTCCGGCACATCAATTTTAGTACCAATCTCTTTAGTTCGATGAGTGGAATCGTTTAATACTAAAATTGGTAAGATTAGGAAATCTCGAAGCAAGTTATAGCTTTGCGCCGTTATGGCCGCGCACTTAATTGGGCTGTACCCACCGGAGAGAAATGGAAACCTTAAGATATGACACGCCAAGGTTCAAAAAACCTATTTAAAATATTTTTGTAAATCTCAAAAATAATTTGTATTTATAAAACTTCCCAAAAAATAATTCCAAAAATCCACACCCCCCCTCCCTTCATTTTCCTCCAAAAAATCCCTTTTATTCTTTTTAAAAAACCTTTTCCGCCTCTTCTCGATCAATAAATCCATGAAATTCTTTTCCATAGTAATAAGGCTTATCGACTATTTTTTGTTGGCAAATAACCATTATTGGCTTCGGGGCTTTCTCTTGCAACTCCATTAATTTAGTTTTCCAATATCCAACAGTTTCCTCGTCTTCTTCCATTTTTTTTGTTGTTTTTTTGGTATATTAATTGAAGAATATTTAATTGAATTTGACTAAAAAATGAGAAAAAAATTTAAAAATTTAGTTGAAATTTCGGTAAAAAATTATTTCTTTAATATTTTTTCGTTTCAGAATTAATAAATGGGACACGCCCAAAACAACGCGCGGCCAAAACAACGCAGAGCTATAACTTGCTTCAAAATTTCCAAATCTTAACAAATTTAGTATTAAACGATTCCTCTCTTCGAGCTAAAGAGAAAAATACCAAAATTGATAAGGACAAGAAATTTTTCAGTAAGTTATGGCTTTGCGTAGTTATGGCCACGCGTTGTTTTGGGCTGACCCTTATTAAATTTTTTTATTTTTTGGCTTTAAAAATATCCGGTTGAGTGCATAAAGTTAAGAGTCTTCGATTTTCTTTTATAACTTAAAATTTTTCAACTTTTCCTATCAATTTATATGTTTCATTCAAAAACTCTTTTTTTCCACTGATTATTTTATTCAAAAGAATCTTTATTATCTTATCTTTCTTAAGACTTTTCTTAAGTCATTCTTAAGACTTTCAGTTCAAAAAATGGCTCCCTTCTCCCCCCAAACACTCAACTTCCGCGCTCAACTGTTTTCTTTACTTTAAAATTATTTAGAAAACGGCAAAAAGAGAAAATGGCACAAAACGACGTCACATGTTTATATATTGAGCGCTTATCCAAGTAAATTGAGACGCATTATGTGCTTAAAAATATGTCTAAAATCTTTATTTTTTTTAAATAAGCTTTATAATTTGATTTTATTTATTAAATATTTGGCCAAACAGACAATTCACCGATTATTTTTTAGTAATTCTTCAAAGATTTTTTAAAATATTTTTAATAACTTTTAGGTGGTTAAATAATTTCTTTGTTATTTTTTACATTTAATTTTGCCAAAAATAAGCGATAATTTTTACTTTTCCTAGATATAAAGATTCCAAAAAATTTAATTTTCGGTGAATTGTACATACCTCGATTTTCTTGATTAATTTAAATAAAAATATACCTATTTCAGAAACAATTAAAAATGTTACAATTTTATTTATTAAATTATTTAAAATTTAAACATCAACATTTTCTAAAAAATAATTTTAATATTATAAATATTTAGTTAATAACAACAAAAAATTATTTTAAATTAAAAAGAATGTTAATTAAAGAATATAGAATACCTTTACCGTTGACAGCAGAAGAATATCAAATTGCACAGCTTTTTATGATTCAGGTTTGAATTTTTTTCTATTTACAATGTCTTGCCACTAAACAGCTCTTTCTCATATTAGGGAAGGGTAGGGGTCAGGTACGTACCCAGTTTTTTTTCGGGGGAGGGGCAGAGAGGGAACATTCTCGGCGCCGAATTTTTGGCGCCAAAAATTGACGTTTATAAATAAAATCCCCCCTGGTTGTGGGCCTGGTCGGGTTTACTTGGAACCCAAGTACTTTCTTCAACCCAACCTGAAGAAAAATTTAAGATCCCGACACTGCCTTTTCTGAACTTTACCCTTCTTCCCAATTCGACGGATCGGGGCAAATGGGAAACTCAGTTTCAAAAATATTAATTTAAAATTTATTTTATTCTTTTTCAATTTAAGAAAAAATCCCGATTAGAAAGTTCTGGTGTTGGAAGTGGTGTTGAAATAATTAAAAATGAGCCCTACAGCGATGGTCCTAATGGCGATTCTGGTCAATATACTTTTAAAATATATCATATTGGAAATAGAATTCCAGGTTTTTTTAAAAGTTTTTCTTCGTTTTTATCTGACTCTTTAAAAAATCCGCAAAAAGTCGTGTCCGCAAGTTTTTGCGGACACGATTTGCGGACATTTTCTTCGAAGATATAAATTAACTCGAAATTTATTTATCCAAAAATTATCTTCTATTTTTAGTTTGGATTCGCAACATTTTACCTTCATCTGCACTTGAAGCTCACGAAGAATCGTGGAATTCTTACCCTTATACACGTACTCGATATTCTTGCCCGTTGATCTCACATTTTAGTGTTGAAGTAATTTAAATTTATTTTTAAATATAAAAAATATTCTGTTTTCAGGTTGAAACGAAGTATTTAAATGATTCTGGTAATTCAGAAAATGTTTTTAATTTAAGTCAAGATGAACTCAAAAATCGGGTTATTGGTATTTTTTACTTTTTTTCTAACAATAAGTCGCTTAAATATTTTTTGTTATCTTATTTTAATCTTTTTTAAAGATTAATTGATACTTTTTGGTTCTGTCACACCCCTCCCATATATTTGCAGGATTTATTTTATATTTTTCCTTCATACGTACAGAATGGTTAGACTTCCTCCTATTATATAAATTTATTCCTCACAATCAACATATGCGCAATTCAACCCCTGAACATTTTAGTCGACTCCTAGTCACTTTTGATATATCCCAATTTATTCACTCACTCCCAAATCACCCTAAAAGACATTTTTACAATTTTTAAATTATGTTAAGGAAATTGGTTGTTTACGTTCATTTATTTTATTTAATTTATTTTATCGCATTATTATTGTCTGAAATCATCGCGCTGGTGCGTATAAATTTGATTTGATTTATGGGAGATTGTTGAAGGGAAAACTTTATTAATGCCTCTCATTGAAGGAAAATTGAGTGAATTGAATAAAGGAGAAATTTACAAATGAAGGAAAAATATAACCTGCGAATATATGGGAGGGGTGTGGCAGAACCGAAAAGTACCGATTAATTTTTATACGTGCTCCTTAAAAAGTTCGCAAGTTTTATCCGCAAATTAATAAATAACACTGCGGACAGTTTTTGCGGATTTTTTTTTTAAATTTGCGGACATTAATTTAAAGAATTATTTTTTAGATGTTATCGATTTTGTTCGTGATCCAATTTCTTCTCATGATTATTTGGCAGAAGAAGATCCAAAAATATTTAAATCATTCAAAACTGGTAGAGGCCCTTTAAACGAATGTTGGATTGAAAATTGTATTTCAAATAAATTACCTTTAATGTGTGCTTATAAATTGTGTAAAGTAGAATTTAAATACTGGGGGTTACAAACACGTGGAGAGAGGTGGATACATGAATTGGCGTTGAGGGTAATTTTTTTTTGGAAATTTTTGGATGGAAAGGCTTCAATTACTCTTGGATAAAAATAGAATTTTAAAAAATCAAAATTTCTGATTTGTAAAAATATAATCACAATTTTAACAAAATAATTAGATCAGAATTTTAATAAATAAATTACTTTTATTTTAAATATCTTTCTAAAATTATTTTTTATTCAAGGGTACCATGCTTCGTGCTCACCGTCAAGCTTGGGTTTGGCAGGATGAATGGTAATTTTTAATTTAATTTTTTTTTCAAATTTAATTTTTAAAAAAGGTATAATCTAAAAATTGAAGATATAAGAAAATTAGAAAATGAAACAAAAGAATATTTGGCAGCATTGATGACACCTAGAGAAGATGAAGTTGAGGAAGAAAATAAAGAAGAATTAAATTTAAAAAATAAATTAAAAAAAGAAAAGGAAGAGAATCAACAACTTTCTTGTTCAAATTCAGTTTCTGATATTTTCTTTGATTGTTCTGATAAATTTGAAGAAAGGGAGGAAGAAGAAGGGCAGCCAGGCAGAACTACCTTGGTGAAAAAATTTTTTAATAGATTTGTGAAATTTTAAAATTTTGTTTTGGAAAATTTATAAAAAATTTTTAAATGAATAAAATATTTAAAAAAGGTTAAAAATGGTCAAAAATTAAAATTAATTTTTAAAGGTTCGTTGGAGTTCAGAATTATTATTAAATGAGGATGATGGAGAAAAATCCCCACCACGAACACCACGTCTTTCAAATAATCGGTTTCTGCTTATTCTTGTATTCCATGGAGATTTATTTCCGACTGTAAAAAATTAAAGATTTAAAAAAAAAAATTAATTTATTTTTAATTTTAAAGAAATCGGCAGACTCGAAAATTACAGACACAAATACTTTACGTTCTACATTAGAAAGTTTAATTAGTTGTCATTATTCACAACTTAAGGGTCGTATAAATGTTCAGGTGAAAATAAAACAAATAAATAAATACATTTAAATATTGGAGGAATTACAAATTAATTAGTTTTGTAATTTTGTTTGAGAAAATTACAAATCAGAATTTTACAATGATATTCTGAACATTTCCGGAAAAACACACAATTCTGAAAATACATTTAAAATTTCGAAAAATATTTTAATTTATACATATTTTGCGGAAAATACAAATTGTAAAAGTCAACCCCTGTAAAATATAGTTTCCGGAATTTATTGTGATTTACTTTTCCGGAAAATACAAATCAGAATTTTAAAAAATTGTAAAAACAAATTACAAATCAGAAATTGTTCTTTTCTTTTTTTGTAGTGTGTTACATGCGGCAGCGAATTTGAATCCCTTGCTCATTTATTAAATTCTCTTTCTTCATCTTTTGGCAATTTTCACCCCTCAATAGCCCAGTTATTAGCTTCAGATGTCTGTACATTCAATGCTTGTGTCACTCAGTCAATTATTACAGCAAATAAAGTTTTTCGTAATTTTTTGAATTCTGAGGCTGGAAAGATTTTTGAAGAGTGTGGGGAAGGGGGAGAAATTTTTCTTGTTGGAGATTTTATTGGAGGAATTATTTTATATGAAGCTTTAGCTAGAAGTATGTCTTCAACAACAAATAAAAATAATAATGAAATAAATAACGATTTGGAAGTTAATTATCGAACAAATAGAGTATATAGCCATTCTTCTTCTCCTAGCGTTAATAAAAATAATAATAACAATAGTAGTAGCAATAGCCGTTCAAAGTCTCCTTTATCTGCTGGAAAACAAGGAAATTGTAGCAAAGAGGCAAGTTTATTTTTTTTACAAATCAGAATTTATTTGAAGACTAGAAATTGTAAGAAATAATCAGAATTTACTTAAATTGTAAAAAAATCAGAATATTTACAATCAGAATTTGTGGTTTAAAAAATCAGAATTTGTAGGAAAATCAGAATTTGTACTTTTAAAAATCAGAATATAATTTCAGAATTCTGTCACCACTACTAACACTTCGCATTCCTATTCTCTTTCTGCTGGCGCTGCAGATTCTCCAAGTATTTACAGTGGCGGCTCTTCAATTTTTAGCTTTGATAATAAGAAAACTCAACAGCAAAGACGAGGTTGTTCGCCTTCTCCTTCTGTTGCAACAGTTGACAAACAGTCAAATAAAGCTGCTCTAGCAAGTCGACAAGCTTCTACAAATTCTTCTGTAATTATTTTAAAATCAGAATTTAATTTGAAATTATTCTGAAAAATCAGAATTTTTATTTTTTTAGCAGGAACCTTCACATTTTGCATTAGGCAGAAAGACTACTGAAGTCTCAAGTGATGTTCTTGATTTTCACCCTACTGCTGCTTTTTTACTTGGCTGTCCTTTAGCCTTGTTGTTAACACAACGTCAATTACTTGGTCTTAAAAATTCTTTTTTTCAAACTTTATTTTTTAATTTTTAAGACGAACATCAAAATTTTTCATTAGCATGTGACCAATTATACAACCTTTTTTATCCTCTCGATTTGTGTGGGGCAAGATTAGAGCCTGTTCTCAACCCCAATTTGGCTCAATTGCCAGCACCCAAAGTACCTCGCTATCAACGTTTCCATTTACTTGGAGATGGAAATGATATCCACTTTGATGCTGCAGGTTCCGCTACTCCAATGGTTTGGGGAAGTCGTCGTGTTGACCACGAATTGTATTGCCCTCCAGAAATGAATACACTCCCAGCTTTGGCTTTACCAAATATTTTACATGTTTCTTATTGGGAATCTAAAGATGTTGGAGCTTTCATTTTGAGAACATTTTTGAGATTTGATGACACTCCAGGATTGTCTACAACAAATATTAAAAATTTGGCAGACTTTCCACCATTAAATTTTCAAATGCCTTTGAGTATTTGGAACAGGCGTAGGACGCGTTTTAAGGCATGTATTAATTAATATTTTAAATCGGAATTTTTTAATTGTAAAAATTATTTTAAAAACCAGAAGCACAAGTACCCTTTTAGCAAATTTTAATTGGACCAGAATATTCTCTTTTGTATAAAAATCAGAATTTACCTTTTTATTTTAACTTGAAACAGAATTTGTAAAAACAAAATGAAAAAGACCAGAATTTGTAAAAATGAAAAGGAAAAACCAGAATTTGTAAAACCAAAAATATAACTAGAAAAAATCAGAATTAAATATATATTATTTTAACAGGTTGCAAACCTAGCAGCCAATCATCGAGCTAACGATTTATTAGTTGTTGCCGATACTGAAGAACAGATAGTCAATGCTCGTTTTTGTTACGGACCAATGGATTTGGTTGCTTTATCACAAGAGAATGTACTTGTTTATGTTTTACCTAGTGGGGGAGAATGGGCATTACGGGGAATGGAAACAACGGATAAACATGGAAGGCTTTCAATTGATTTGGGGAAGAGTTTGCCTGTTGGTATACATCATGTTAGGTTGATTGTACAGGGAGATCGTGAGTTTTTTTGAATTACATAAATTCTGGTTTCTCCATTTTTATGCAGAAGTAAAGTTCTGATTTCTGTTAAGAAATTCTGATTTTTAGGGAATTCTGTTTGTAAAAAATTCTAGCTCTATTCCCTGTTTCTGTAGAATTCTGATTTAATTTTTTATTTCAGATACCTTCCTTTCTGTAAGCATTGCAGTCGTTCTAAAAGGTACCCCAATTGTTGTTTTCAGTATTGATGGGTCTCTTACAGCTTCTGTTTCTGTTGTAAGCTTATTTTTATTTTTAAATTGAGAAAAGAATTTTTTAGACAGGACGTGATCCGAGATTGAAACCTGGGGCAGTTGATGTTGTTCGATTTTGGCAACAACAGGTGATGATTCTGATGATTTAAAAAAAATCTGATTCAAAACGGAATCGGAATTTTTTATTTTTTAAAGTCAGAATTTTAAGAAAAAAAATAAATAAAAAATAAATAAGAATTTTTATTTTTTTATTAAGAAAATAATTTTACAAAAAGAATTTTTTGTCTTTTTCGTAGAAGAAATTAACTTAAAAATTTTTTAATTTAAAGGGATACTTAATTATTTATTTAACCGCTCGTCCTGATATGCAACAACGTTTAGTTAGTGCCTGGTTAGCTACTCACAATTTCCCGCACGGTCTTCTATTCTTTACCCCTTCATTGTCAACAGAACCGCTTAAACAGAAAATGTTATTTATGAAGCATTTGACAGATATTGGGTTGTGTGTACAGGCTGCTTATGGAAGTACTAAAGATATTCCGGTAAATAAATACTCTTTCCAATCTTATTTTCAGAACAAACAAAAATCAGAATTTTCCTTTTTTTAAAGGTTTATTCAAATGCCGGTTTGGACCCAGAACGCATTTTTAGAGTTGGCGGCGGTCATCGACGCAAGCACACTTTGGATTGTGTTTCTTTAGAGAATGGATATTCCCCCCATTTACATGATTTACATTCTGGTAAATTTAGAAAGTTTTTAAAATTTAATTAAATTTTAATTTTTAAGGACGTATAGAAATTGCCCAACCAGCCTCATATATAGTTGTTGGACATTCTAATTTAAATAATTCTTTTGGAATAAAAATAGAAGAGCATTCAACATTAGATACACAAAATAACAGCAATAAATCAACAACAACAACAACCTCAATACATCAACAACAGCAACGATCTCCTATGCAGCGAACTTTAAGTTTTGGACCTCGTACGGGAAAATATAATTGCTCTAAGAAAATAAGCCAAACATCCTCTTTATCCACAAATTAAGATAAAAGATTTTTTGAAAGTTTTATGGATTTAATTATTCGAGAGGCCCAGTCTACCGTGAAGCTATAACTACACTTAAATCTTCTGATTCAGCTCGATAGATTCAAAGTTTTTGATACTTTATTTGACACTTTATAGGTCCAATTTTCATTAAATTAGTTAAAGCTTAGCGGTAAGACTGTGTTATGTCAGGTTTACCCGAGAAAAACATTCCTCCTATAAAATCTTCACTTTCCCATTTTCTTGTATAGCCGAAGCTCTATATAACGTCACCCATCGAAGCTTAGTGGCTTTAGAGCCACTAAGAAGCTAAGTGACTTGGAAGGGAACGTCAAATCAGGCAAACACGTCCCTCAGACTCAGAACCGTATTGAGAGGGTGTATGAGAAGAGAGAGAGAGAGGAGACGTTATTGAGGGCTTCCATTTTATTATCCTATACCTTAAAATTATAGAAATTATTAACAATTTCTAATTATTTTCCCTCAAATTTACATTCCTTTATTGGCAACTTTCTTTTAATTTCCTTTTGATTTTCTTTCCCCTTAGCCATAATTCCCTTATATCCTATGAGCTTTATTTCCCTTTTTTTCTTCCACTATAGAAATTTATTTTTGAAATTTTGATATAAAATAATCACAAAAAATTTTTTTCTTTTTTAGTTGTTGTGATAGAATTTGCTAAATAAAATTTTTTTAAATTAAATAAATTACACTGCATATACATACATTAATATGTATGTGCAAACACACGCCAATGTCGGTTACAATAATTAGACAAGGAAGGCCGACAATTAAAAACAAACAAATAAATATTATTTTTTTGTTATTTATTTTTTGCCCTTGGGAAGGTAAAAAATTATTTGATTGCCTTTATCTGACTTTTATTTTAAAAAATGTTAGGTAGGTATGAACATATTGGCGTTCGTATTTTTTCTCATGTTCTTTTTTTATTTTTAGTAACCTATGTAGATAAATGTAAAAATTATTTTAAATTTATATACATATGTAAAAAGAGAACGGTTAAAGTCAAAAAATTGCAAATTTTATGAAAAGAGAATTCAAAATTTAAGTTAATATGTATGTACTTTTCGAATTTGTTTAAATTATGTAGACAACAATATAATGATTTTCTTTAAATTTATTTGAAATTTATTTCTTTATCTTTGAATTTTCTATAATAAATATTGTTTTGAAGGGTCTTCTGATTTATTCTGATTTTTAAAAATTCTTCTGAAATTCTAATGACTACCGTATATGCTCGAATAATTACCCTCTCTCAAATAATTGCCCTCACTAATATTACCGCCTATTTTTTCATAAACAAATTATAAAAATATTTATTTAAAAAATCATTACAACTTTTAATAATGGAACATTTTAAGGATCAATATAAAAAATAAATCGAATAAAAGAAAAATGGATCAAGTATTTCCTTGAAATAAACCCTAATCCCCCTATATCTCTCCAAAATCTCTGATATTCTTACTAGATCCCATAAGATAATTTCCTGATATTCTCTTCATTAAATTACAATTTTCTGATTTTTAAACATTTCCTTATTAATTTTAAATTTAAATTAGACCACACACAAAGATGACACTTTTTTGTAAAAATACACAGTTCCTTTTCCTCTTATCCGAATATACCTAATTTAAATGTGTTTTGGAAATAGAGAAAGGTCAATCCCTTTGCAAACACACATTCTCTTTTTTTTGACATTTGCCTTATTTTTAACCAAAAATGGGTATAAGCGTCGTTTTTCATCTTTTTCTATCCCCCCACAATTTTTTTTCTTATTTTATTTTTTATTAAAAAGGAAGAGGGAAGAATGGTCATTTTGATGAGGGGGAGATCGGTCCTTCCCCCATTTTCTCTTCCTTCATTTTCCCTTCATTTTCATCTCCATTTTCTTATTTTTTCTTTTATTTCCTCTCATATCTTTAAAATTAAATGAGGTATATATAGAAAAAAAATAAAGAGCCTTTTAAGCAAAAAATGAGGGAAATATCCTCCCCTTCTCCCCTTATCTTCCCTTTCAATAAAGTAAAAAAACGTGTGGTTGTGCCGGTTTGTGGTTTGGTTTGTGTGTGCCGTCTCTTGACTGTTTTTGTCGGTTTTTTAATACTTTGAGGGAGGGAATAAATGAGGGGAAAGGCCTCCTCATCTTTATAGGGAGGAAAGGCTCTCTTTGTTTGTGTTTTTGGCAAAATTGGGAGAAAAAGTAAAAAAATTGTTTAAATAAAGTAAGGAGGGAGAGGGAGAGAGTTAGGCACCGGTGTATATTTAAATGTTTTTAAATTAAAAATATCAAGTTACCACATTTCTCATACATCCCCCTACATATTCTCTCACAAAATGACCATCAACATTAAAAATTTTAATGTTGATGGTCATTTTGTGAGAGATTATGTAGGGGGATGTATGAGAAATGTGGTAACTTGATACCTAAGGACAAACAATTAAAATTCTGAAATATTCTGATATTTGTTTTGTTTAATTCTGGTTCTATTCTGATGTTATTCCACTAAATTCTGGTTTGTTCTGATTTTATTTAATTAAATTCTGATTTTGCTTGATTTCAATTTTTCTGATTCTCGTTTATTCTGATTCTTGTTTTATTAAATTTCTGGTTTCTGATTATACATATGTACAGTCGTGGAAAAAAGTATGGAAGCGCTAGAAAATTTTTTCTTAATTCTTAATTTTTCATTCAAAAAATACGTTCTATATACCAATCGAAAGCTCTATTCGTATCTCAGTTGACATGTTTCTGCATTTTTCATAAAAATGAAAATTGGCCGAGATAATCCGGATCTACCGGATATACCAAATCCCACTTTTTCGGAAAAATTTTTCGGAATAAATTTAACAAACCCAAATGATAAAGCATATTTTTCTGAGTATTTTCCATAAAACCGCTTAGAAATATCTTTTTTCGGAGCAGAGATATGATTTTTTGAAAATTGCATTTTTCGCTTAAAAATTGAATTTTTTGCAAAAATAGACGAAAAATGCAATTTTCAAAAAATCATATCTCTGCTCCGAAAAAAGGTATTTCTAAGCGGTTTTATGGAAAATACTCAGAAAAATATGCTTTATCATTTGGGTTTGTTAAATTTATTCCGAAAAATTTTTCCGAAAAAGTGGGATTTGGTATATCCGGTAGATCCGGATTATCTCGGCCAATTTTCATTTTTATGAAAAATGCAGAAACATGTCAACTGAGATACGAATAGAGCTTTCGATTGGTACATAGAACGTATTTTTTGAATGAAAAATTAAGAATTAAGAAAAAATTTTCTAGCGCTTCCATACTTTTTTCCACGACTGTATATTACCAAAGGTTCTGAATTTATTCTGATTTTACTTTTAAAAAATTCTGATTTCACTTTTAAACTTTACTGTTGTTTAGGTAGATATTTCAGAATCTTTTTAGATATTTCAGAATCTTTAAACTCTCCGTTGTGCCAACAAATAATTTTTAAACTATGTGAAGCCCTCCTTCTCTATTTGGGTCAGAGGTCATTCACCATTCGATAGCTTTATTAGTCAATTTCCCTTCCATCATTTTTTTATTTTTACCCAAACATAACTAGTAGTAGTAAAGCCTTTCCTCAATAATTCTCTCATTTTCTTTTATTTGCATCAGTCAAAATATTTTTTTATTTACTCAAATTTAAATAAGAGAATAAATTTCCCAAGCTAATAGTATGTATTAATGTACTACCTTCATTTCTTTTATTTGGGTATTTATTTAATCATTTGGCTTTTCATTTTTAAATTTATATATTCTGTTTAAATCTTCCAAAAAATCAGAAAATAAAAATTATGCTTTTAAAATCAGAATATTTTTAAACGAAACCAGAAAAGAAAACAATAATTCTGAAAAAATAATTACAAATCAGAATTTTGATGGTATAGATTAGGGTTGTTCACTACTGGTTAACTGGTACTCCCGGTTTTCGATTAATCCATATTTTAGGAACCCAGTTTTCGATTTTGAGTTTTAGACAAATACCGGTTTTATTTGGGAGAATTTTTAATAAAATCCACATTTTCAGAAGTTTTCGGTTTTTTAAATTTCGTAAAAACGGTTAATTTTTGACAAAAAATATCAAATTTTCGGTTTTAAATCCGACCGTGAACATCTAGTTTAAATTACAAAAAAACAAATCAGAATCTTTTTGTAAAAACCAGAAAATACAAAATTCTGTTTTTAATAGTGGTCATCTAAATAATGTCGGTCATTTATTTGTTCTTTAAACTCTCCAATAAATTTTCAATTTTTAATCTTTTATCATCCCTTATCAATAAAAATATTTTTATTTGTCTCGTCAGACAAAAATGCTCATATATTTTTCTTTTTATAGGGAAAATGTTTGGGAGAGGGGGGGGGGTCAATCAACCTATTTATTTTTAAATAGTAAAAAATATTTTTAAGTAATCCCTCTAATAATGCGCTCTTCTTTTATTATTCATTCAACCGAAAATTTAGCCATTTTGTGTTTGTTGAACGGTCTGTAATAAAGCGCTCACAAAATAACGAGGAATAATATATTATTACTTGCCAATAACAATATTTTGAGTACTTTAACGATATAATAGTAGGTGCGGTTAAAAATTCTGATATATTTTACAAATTACAAATTCTGATTTTAAGCATTCAATATTTCACAAATTCTGATTATACTTATGACATTCTTTTTTGGATTTAGAAATTCTGATTCTTTAGAAAATACAAATTCTGATTTTTTACAAATTACAAATTCTGATTTTTTACAAATTACAAATTCTGATTTTTTATAAAATACAAATTCTGATTTTTATTCTTACAATTTCAATTTACCTATAGATTCCCAGGTGTCTAATTAGCCTTTCTGCTTCTTTAATTGTTTATTTTTAATTAAATTTTTCTTCAAAATTATTCGCGCATAAAATATATTCTTTAATTTAGTCCCAAAAATAATAGTCAATGATATTCTTAAAAATTAAGTCCTTCAGTTTTCATTATTTTTCCCCTTCCACTTTCCCTATTTATCCCAGCAATCAAATCCATCCCCAATTTTTTAGCTTCAACTGTCAAATGTGCCAATAAGATTTTCTACCGCAAAACACTTTGTGCCGCTTTACTCAAAGAATGTCATCACATTAATTTTTTGTATTTATTATGATTTTCTTTTTTTTAGCATCAAAAATATTTTTTCTTTCATTTTTGTTTCGTTTTTCATTTTAGAATTTTTTGATTAGGATTTTAATCCTAGAGAAGTAAATTCCCTCAACCCCCCAACCTAATAATAATAATAATATCCTTTCAAATATCCTTTCAAATCCTTCCCTCTTCCCCCCACTCTCTTGGGGATGTTCTCTATATTATGAAAGGACTGACTGTGTGTCCAGTCATCGACTCTAACAAAAACACTCAATGCCATCCATCCATGTATTTATATCCCCCCATCCATCAGGAATGGTGGAAAAACTCATTACGCGCTTGTCCTGTGTGTGATGGATAGCCTTTTGCAAGAAGGCATTAATATATATATCTTATGAAAAGGCATGAGGGGATCTATATTATACTCCAATTTTTATATTTAATGTCCACACATTAAAAATAAATTTTGCGGATTGAATCTTTCAGAAGCATTAAATAACAAATCCTTTAGTTTCAGAAAATTTAAAATAAAATACAAACTAAAATAGTACTTGTTATATTTCGGAAAACTGCATAAGATTGTGTTTTCCAGGAAACACAATACCTCCGGAAAATACAAGCTTAACGGAAAATATAAATTTTCAGGAAAAAGACTTGCTTCAGACAAACACAAAAACAGCGTAAAAACTTTCCGGAAAAGTTATATTTATTATCAAATTAGAATTTCCTCAAAATATCAATCTTTGGAATTATTTCAGAAACTTGGGTAGTTTTAAGACAGAATAAAAAATTTCCGTAAAAAAATTTCCGGAAAATGTGATAAACCTGTCTAGAATTATTTCAAAAACTTGAGTATAATTTGTTAACTTACAAATGATTCTTTTTCTAAAATTTAAGGAAAATACTAAATAAAATACACAAAACTTGATTAATAAAAAATCAGAATTCCCTTCCTATACACTCTTTTCTTCAACTAATTTCAACTGTTTTAAACACATCTCTCTAACCAAATTTCCAATTTATTTTTTCCTTCTCACACAAACCACCAATGGCGCCACCGGCTGGCCTTTTCTGGGGCATTTTTGTTATGTCCAGTGCCGGCACTGTTTTCTTTGTTTCCTAATAAAATTACGGCTGGCTGGTGCAGAGAGTCTATGGCCTTGGCTAGTCCTTTCCTTTCCTCCTTCCTCTTCACTTCTTTATTACTCATTCATACGTTAAATTTCATTGTCCTTTAATTTCCCCCCATACCTCATTCATTTTTGTTTCATCTTCACTCTCTGAAATTCACACCAAAATTTTGAGACCAAAGAATTTTGTTTTTAACAAAATATTTTTTTAGATTATAAATTATTATTTTTTTGAAATCTTAAAAAATGTTACAACAATTTTATATTCACCGCCAATTTATTTTACTTCAGGTAATGACGAGAATTATTTTAATTATTAAATATTTGTTTTTAATTAAGATTATTGCCTTTCTATTCTCTCAATGGATAACATCTCCGCTCGTTTACGCAGATGCAGAAGTTAACCGGCATCTTTTTTATGATACAAGTCAAATAAATGGTAGGCCATTTTGCCACAATATTAATCTAAGATTTACATATCTAGAAATCTTTCTAAATTAAATTCAAAAAAATAATTTTCCGGAAACTTATGTTTTCTGGAAATTTGGTAAAAAAATCAATTTTATCCTTCTCCGGAAAAAATAAACTAAGTTTCTTCCTGAAACCTAATAAATAAATTTATTCTTTTGGTAAACTTCTCAAGGAAAATTTTTAAATAAATTTATGACTATCCGGAAAACTTGAATTAATAAAAATTTTGCATGTTTACTAATAAACTATAACTTTAAATTTATACTTATATTTATTCCAATTTTTAATCAAAACAGATGGTAACATCAAAACATGTATTACTTATGCCGTTCACCGTATTAATAATGAAACTTGTATTCTTTTGCGAGAACAGCCTTCAGAATCGAATATAATTTTTCGCCACAACAAAACTTCATCCATTTACTTCTCTCAAAGTGAGCGAGGACTGTGTGGTGTAGATGCTGATAATTCTAGTTTAATTTATTTGAGCAGAGAATGTGTGACTAATGTGGGGGAATTTGTTAAAATATTTAATAAAAAAATTTTTTAAAGGATCCAAATGCCTGTATTCACTTAATTTCAAAAGCATTGACTGGTCGCAAAGCGGTAACGGCAAATGTCTTTTCTCTTCTAAATGAGTATTTTGAATGTAACGGTGAGTTATTTATTTTTTTAATTTTTAAATTATATTAATATATAATAGTTTTTTAACTCAAACAAAAAAAACTTTAAGGGTCACAGTTTGGTCTTTACGACCATGTTTAATTTTAAAAAATTTCGTCCGCAAAAATTCTTTTTTTTCCGCAAAAAATTTTTTTGTCCGCAAATTTTTTGCGCACAATTTTGAAAAATAAAAAAATGATTTTCAGATATTTACCTTAAAAATAAATTAATTTTCCTTCTTTTGTTAAATTTAATTTTAAAAATAATTTTAAATTTAAAGATCATTGCCAAATAAGTTGTTCAAATGGGGGGAAATTTGATTTTGGAAAATGTGATGATTGTAATTGTCCGTTTAATGGACTTTTTGAGGGGCAAACTTGTGATGAATTGGTTAAATTGGGGGAATATACAGACGAGGCTTGCAAAACTTTAATTGTGGGCACAGAAGAATGGAATGGAGAATTAAAACTTAAGTAAATCTGTGAACTAATTTTGAAATAATTTAATTATTTAGAGCCCCAATAAACGAAAAAACTTATTGCCAAATTATGTTGGTAGCAGACGATCCTTGGGCAAAATTGGAAATTGAATTTGCAAGTCTGGATATGAGTAGACGTGCTTTTGGGGCTATTGACTGTCCTGACCGATTATATGTAAATTAATTTGTTTTTAAGTTGAAAATTTTTTAAATTTAGGTTTATGGACTAGAAACAGCTCCAATGAAAAGGTAATTAGCAGTAAACTTGTATTGGGTTCTGAAATTTCGAAATCAGAATTATCAGAAATTCTGATTATTAAATCTAATCTTTAAATTTAAGCATAAAATGCAATTCTGTGGATGCACCAAAACCTCGAGAGCATTTCCTCTCAAAAAGCAATTTTCTCCTCTTTCAATTAGAGGCCAACCGCTTTGATAAAAAACCACGTGTTGGGCCTATTATTCGTTACACGCTTCGACCTGCAGCTTATTCTGCTGGTAAGTAATTAGAATCAAAATAGTTAATTTATAAATATAAATCAGAATGTCTAATTCAAATAACATTTTCACAATTTATTTTAAAATCAGAATTGTAAAAATAATAAATAGCAAAGAATATATTCTTCCGGGATTAATTAAAAATTCTGATTAATTTATTAATATTTTAATTGTATTTACACGGTGACAAGAAAGTAATTGGGCACTTTTTATTTTATCATAACTTTTTTTTCTCATTTACATTTTAAAAATATTTTTATTCTAATTTTATAGCCAAAATTCAATTCTCTTTTAGGGGCCAAGATCCATTATTGAACCTTTTTCCAAAAGACTTCAAAAGTTCTTGATCTTATTTGTTCCTTATTTAGTTCTCTATCATTTAAGCTTTATATAATCTCATTAACTTTTATTTGAATAAAGTTATGGCTTAAAAAGTTTGTCCCATTACTTTGTTGTCACCCTGTATTTTATCAGAATATATTTTTATTTTTTCAATAATTTAAATCAGAATTATTTTTTAAGCAATTCGCACACAACGCGCCTCAGTGCACTCTCAAAACTATGCTGATGAAACCATCGATAATGAAATCGCGGAAGGCTCTTCCGATTCAAGTTTAGGGTTTTTAAATGGAATTGGAGGAACTAAAATTGCCGTTATTGCTGTTGTTTTGGCTTGTATTTCTGCTATTTTGGTTTTGGCAGCATTCGCGGCATTTGGCCGTAGAAGGAGAATTTTACGCAATCGACGTTATCGTCATCATGTAAATTATTTAATTCTAGATTTTTTTAACAGAATTTTTAACAAAATATTGTTTCAGGGAATAGAAAGGGGTTGTATTATCAAAAATTTAAGTTTCCAAAATTATTATAGAGAAATTATATTTTCCTGAAATTCTAGATTATAAGTTTACGAAAATAATTTTAGTTAAGAGTTGTATTTTCCGGAAACTTAAGTTTTTTGAATTAAATTTTTTAAAGTAGTTTCCAGAGGTGGGTCGGAACAGTCAGAGGTGTCGGAAATCGGAAATGGCTCAAAAGTCGGAAATTGGAAATTAATTTTTTTTCGGAAATCGAAAGGAAAAAATGAATTAAATATGTATAAAAAATTTTTGTGTTTCCGGAAACTTAAGTTTCCGGAATAATTTAAGAAAAATTTTGTATTTTTCAGAAAATACCTAATTTATAGCTCTGAGAATACTTCTAAACAAAATTTTCTTTTTTGCAGAAAAATATTTTTATTTTAGCAAAATAATGGAAGCAACGGAACTAGCAGCAGCGATAAAAGACGCAATTCTTGTGCTTCTTCAGTAAAGTCTGGTGAAAAAGTAACAACAACAAACGAAATTGAAGAACCGCCAGCCACAAATGGAGTCCATACAACCAACACAACTTCAACAATTTCTGGAGTTTCTGGTGGAGGAGGGGGTGTTGCTAATTTGTAAAGGGAAAGAAAAAAATGATTTTTTTAAAATAATTATTTTAAAAACGTTTTTCCTCAATTTTTATGCAGGAATTTTTTAACCTTCAAATTTTAACATTTTTTGATTTTTTAAAATATTTTTTGAAGAAGATTTCATTAAACTCTTTCATTTTTGTAGTAAATAATTAATTAGAGGCCGGACTGGGAGAGTTGTACGAAAATCTCGATAATTCCCATTTTTCTTCTAATAGTGCGACTCCCTCTATTAGACCGACCCCTTCTAATAAACCGACCTTCTAGAGGAAGGTTGAAAAATAAACCGACCGGTCGTACTATTAGAAGAAGTACGGCATATATAATGAATCGGTAATAATCTCGATAACCAAGATTTTTGATCGAGATTTCGACTCGGTCTGGTCTCTAGCAATAATTTCCCTCAGGCATATATTTTTCTAAGCTTTCTCTTTCTTAATTTAAAATTTTTTTTTTCAATGTAAAAATCAAAGTTTTATGGCATTGTTTTTCTATAAAAAAGAGTGCCATAAACTTTTAATATTTTTTATAAAAACAAAATTTTCTTGCTTTATTTGATTACAAAAGAATAAAATACATAAATATCAAAAATAAAAAGACTATAAATAATTAAAAATTACAATAAATTTAACGGTAATTTTTCGAAAACATGAAAATTAAATTGTGTGTATTTTTCTGAATTAATACCGGATATTTACAGGAAAATATAAATTCGTTAACTTATATTTTCCGGAACTATAAATACTAGAGATGTGCGAGACTCTTGGTCTTGGTCTTGGAACCAAGACTTTTCTTGGTTTTTTTTCGGTCTTGGTCTTGGGGTGTTTGTCTTGGTCTTGTCTTGGTTTTATTTTTTGGTCTTGGTTTTTTGGCCTTTTTGGACCTAGTGCTTGGCCATCCAAAATCCTCAAAATTTTCGCCTGCGGCGCTGAAAATGTGAATTTTTTTGGCCTACGGCCTTCCAAAATTTTCAAAATTTTTGCCTGCGGCGCTGGAAAAGGAAGATTTTTGGCTTCTTTGCTTTCATAATTCCCAAAATTTTCGCCTGCGGCGCTAAATCCCACGGCTATCCCTCTTAATCTTTTGATATCACTAATATCCCGTTAATCCACCCAAACCCTCTGAAATAATAACCTATTTTATTGATTTTCCACAGAATAAATTCCCCGAAATTCTTTGAATTTCGCATAAATTTTTCGAAATTATAGATAATTGTGCTGAAGTTGACTGTGATCGTATCAAAATAACAAAAAATAAACCAAAAATTTGACCTATGGGATTTAAAAATTTGGTCTTGATTTTTGGTCTTGAGTCTTGGAGTTTTGGTCTTGGTCTTGTGTCTTGGTCTTGAAAAAAATTTTGTCTTGGGTCTTGAGTCTTGAGTCTTGGAAAAATTTCGGTCTCGCACATCTCTAATAAATACTATTTCCGGAATGTATTTTCATAAGAATTAAATTCTTTAACTTATATGTATTTTCCGTAACTTTAAATAATATTTCCGGAATAATTGTATGTATTTTCCGGAAATGCTTGAGAATATTAAATTTGTAGCACTTCCTTTTCTAATATAATACATAAATTACAGAAAAAAGGAAAATATTAAAATAATCCTCAAACACATTTTCAATTAATTTTTAAATCAGAATTATTTTTATTTAATAAAAGAGAATAAAACAATCGGGAAAATAAAAAGGCGCTTAATTTATTTTTCTACAAAAATTGTATATTTTCTATATCAATATTAATCTCTTAGGTATATTTATAAAAATATGGAATAGGTAAAATAAAATATATACATAAATCTTTCACTAGCTCGATGTAAAACAAAGCAAAATTTTTTAATTTAATGGAGAATTTAAATTAAAAGGAATGAATATTTAAAAAAAAGTATTTTAATAAACTTATGTAGAGAGTTGCTAGAAGAAAATATTTACTTAAATTGTATATTCATAGTTTGAAAAAAATTGTGACTGTATTATAAAAGTAGCAACCCTGACAGTACACACAAAGCAACTTAATATAGGTAAACTGGAATGAATAATGGAACAATCTTGGAAATTGAAAAGATGACATAAATATCGAAAAAAAATTTTGTGAATCAGAAAAGAATCTTAAGAAAATGGAATTTAGAAATCCGATCTAAATTTGCTTATAAACCTCAAAATATAAAATTCAAAATAAACAAATTCTAATTAAAATTAAGTTGCTTTATGTTTTTTCGTAAAATAAAATTAAAATAGCAAATAAAAATAATTTTTATTTTTCAAAAAAAATGTGCGTAAATAAATGAATATAGATTTAGTCTCAAAAATATTTAAATATATTTTTTAAATAGAGAATTGCTGAAAAATATATGTATATAGAGAAAAAATAACGATTTTTAGTGAGTGATAACAAAAATAAATATATTTAGTATTTTAATATAAATCACATCAGATAAAAAATATTTTTAAAAAATAAATTTTTTGGAGGGAGGCTTTGAAGGGGTTACTTGTAAATTTTTAAACTTTTTTGTTAGGAAGATAATGGAGTACTTTTCCTTTTTCATTGGAAAAAAAATTATTAATCATTTCCCCCTTCTCCCTATCTTCCATCGAAAAATTTTTTTAATTTTTAAAAATATTTTTTAATAATATTTTTATATATTTTTAACAATATCAATCAATAGGTAATCAAAAAAATTTTTTAATCTAAAATAACAATAAATTTTTTACTTTCCCTTATCAATAATTTGTTCTCTTGAACTATTTAACCTTTCACGATTTGGTGAAGGCGATTTATGATTATTATTGTTACTATTTCCAGTGTTATTACGTCTACGTGGAGCAATAGGAGGAGCTGTTGGTGTTAATGTTGTTATAGATGATGATGCATTTGGGGCAACAAAACCTTCATGTAATTCAACCATTATACGTTCAAAATCGCTAAAAATATTAAAAAAAAATATTTTTTTTTATAAAATTTCTTCACTCACCCATCATTCAATTTTGAAGATTTTAAAGCCTTTCCTCCTCCTCCACCACTACTCCCATTTAATGATTGTATAAATTTAGCATTTAATTCATCCAACAAACGGTCTTGACTTGATGGACCCCCGCCGGAACGAGTTGCTGATGATGTTCCTCCCGAACGACGGGTAGTCTGAGCGGAACGACGTTTTTGTTGAGTTTCAAGTTGTCGCTTAAGAAAAATAAATTTTGAACTAGAGGTCGGCAAAATCGCGTTTGCGGGATCCCGCGGGATTAATTTTTTCTTAAATCTTTGCGGAAGTAACTCCCGCGGGAATAATCCCGCACTCCCGCAAATCGAAAAAAGTGCGGGATTGCGGGAGCGGTATTCTATTTTGAACACACTTATTTATGGAAACAAATAAGTAGGCTAGTTTATATTTTCCGGAAATTATAAATTCTAATTTTATAGTTTTAAAAACAAATTCATTTAATTATTTTTTACCTGTTCAGCCTTTCGTTTAGCCTCATTTTCAGTTCTAGCTTGTTCAAAATGCTTGCAAAAAGAAACAATTCTTGTAAAAAATACATCTGGTTGAATTCTTCCAGGTACTTCACCAAAATATTCAGCACATTCTCCAAAAGCTTCTTGTGCTAGTTTGTAATTTGATTGAAGTGATTGAATATTAGCTTCAGCAGATTCCAAAAATGTATTTAATAATTGGGGAGTTTCTTCTTTTCCTTTTCTTTTTTGTTCTGTTAAAGCCTTAAAAATTAAAATCCGTAATGTATATTTTACTTAAATTTTGTTTCCGGAAATTATATAAAATTAATATATTATCCGGAAATATATTTAATAATAACATCCGGAAAAGTTTAAATACGTGGACTATTTACCATTATTCTTTCCGGAAAGAAATAAAAATTTTTTTATAAAAAATACTTCACACTTAAGTTTCCGAAAACATTGGGTAAATACTTTTTTAAGTTCTTATTTACAAGAATTAATAATTTCTAAATTTATTTACCTGTCCAAATTTTGTTTCAATATCTTTAACATCAGTACCAATAGTTTCCATATTAACTTAAATAATTTATTTAATTAAAAGAAATATTTATTTAATTAATTTACCAGTAGCCCCATTTTCTGCCAATTTTAATTCTCCACTAAAATCCAGCAAATGAGGGAATTTATCAGCTATTAATTCAACAATACAATGCAATAATGTAACATTTCGATCTTTTGGACTTTTAAGGATACTCAACTGGAAATAAAATTTTTTTGAAATTTTCCAAAAAAAAACTTACAGCATCCAAACTAGAAAGTCTAAATCCATAAACAGGCGCTCTTCTCTGTCCATTCATTGCATTTCCAATAGCCAAAATAATTTCAATAATTTTGGGAAATTTTTTTGAATTATGTACAGATTTGGCTGCTGCTGTAACCTTTTGGATTTGCTAAAAAAATAAATTTTTAAAAATTATTTTTAATTAAAAAAATAAAAACATACAGGAATGAGTAGACGAACGCTTAAAAAAGAGGGGAAAATTAATAAAATTTAAAAAAAATATAAAAATTGAATATTAAAATTGTTTAAAAATAGTTGGGGAGATTCGAATTTAGAAGATAATAGGTATTCCAAAATATTATTCTAGGTTAATCTAGTCAGGGAAGTGGAACCTAGAGTCCTAAAAACTCAGTACCTGCCAATCATTATTTTAAAATTGAAAAACCCTCTCAAAAACCCACCTATCATTAAAATCTCCCATAAATTTCATAATCAAAAGTTTTTGAGATAATCTTTCAATTCCCATTAATTGAGCCAAAAATTGATCTTCAGCAGTCAATAATTCCCAAGGATTATTTAAATTTGAAGAATTTTGATTTGAAGAAGCATATTCTTTTAATTTTGTACATTCATCTTGTGTGGGTACTATAGGTAACAAAATTTCAACTTGATCCGGACTTAATACAGACAAATCAAAACGGTGAACACCCGACCTTTAATTAAAAAAATAAATTTTAGAAAATTATTTTATAACCAAATTATAAGAGACTGAAAGTTTCTATTAGATTTGGAAAGGGCCGGGTATTAACCGGTACTCCCAGTTTTCATTTAACACCAGTTTAAGACTCCGAGTCTTCGTTTGGTTCAATTAACCATTTACTTCCAACCTTATCTTCATAATAAAACTTACAAACTAAAAAACTTTCATAAATTTTCTGCAGTATTTACCCAAATTCCTTAAGTATTTTAAATATTAGGTCACTAAAGGACAACAAAATCCTTTTAGATACATATATGTAAAGGTCAACTACTAATAAAAAAGTATTTTTTCTTACATAATTTCCATTATTGACTTGCCAAGCTTTCGACGTATAATAGCTAAAAATTTAATTTATTTTTAATTTCCCAAAATTATTTCAAACCAATATTTTGAAGTCTTTTAGTGCCCAACAAAGTTTTCGTATTCCCTCCATTCAATACACCAACACCTATACTGCTAGATGCCGAACTTGGAGGGGATGATTGACCTCCAGAAACCAAGTCTTCCTTCGATTGTTTTTCTGCTATTTTGTTGCCAGAGGGTGGGCCATCAACGCAAAAGAGTTCTTCCAAACTAGAGAGGTCCAAAACCTGAAAAAATATTTTTTTTAGATTTTCTAGAATATCCAAATAAAGCCCTCTTACATCAACAAGTTTTTCATCATCAAGTTCATTAAAAATAGTTCCCTTCACTTGATTTGGGTTTAAAGCAGACCAATTAAGCATTGGTAATTTGCTCCTAAAATTTATAAATTTTATTAAAAAATCCCAAAAATTCCCTACTTAATAGTCACAACACGTTTTTGAGGTCCATCATTAGCCAAAGCTAAATTTTGTTGATTTGCTTTAGATAAAAGTCCGGGAGGAGGCGGAGCTATTATTTTTGGTGGTAATTTAAGTGATGGAGGTGGGGGTGGTGGAGGAGGTGGTGGTGGTCCTCCATTTGATGGTTTTATTGATGAAGTTTCTTTCTTGAGTAGAAGATTTGTTGGAGGGGGTGGAGGTGCAGGAGGTGGGGGAGGAGGGGGTGTTGGAACCGGCAGAGATGTTGTTAATGCTGCTTTTTTAGCCTATAAATAAGAAAGAAAATTTTTTTTTAAATTTCCTAAAGAATAGAAAAAAGCAAATTTCTTTTCCAAAAAATATTTACTTGTTCGCCACCAAGTGTCTGTTTTGATAAAGCGCCAGAAACATTATTAGTTGAAGTAGCAATATTATCATTAGTTGAAGCAAGTGCAGCAGGTGAAGACTGTGTTACAACTGCAGTAACTGTAGCAACAGAAGCTGCTTGTTGTGCTGCTGCCTGCTGTGATATCTTTAGGCTTTCTGAAAGAAAATACCCGTATTTAAAAAAAAGTAATTTTCTTGAACATTTTTCAGGAAGGAAAAGTTTTCAGAAAGGGAAGAATAATTTCCGAGAATATTCCAAAAATAAGGAAATAAATTTTTAAAAAATCAAGATTTCCCCTTACGTTGTATTTCCCTCTTTGTCTGTTCCAACATTGTAATTCTTCTCTCCAATTCTCCCTTTTCATTTTCAAATTTTGTTTCCTTTTCACGCCAATCTTTTGTAAGTGTAGAAATATGCATATCTCGATTAACTTTCTGTCTTTCCAATTCCAATTTATCCTCTACCAATTTTTTAAGTTGAGCATTTAATTGGGCTATTTGGACATAACAATCAGCCTGTAGTTGTTGAAATTCTTCTTTTTGACGAGAATTGTTTGCCTTTAAAAAATTACAAATTTTTTTTTGGATTTTAAAATTAATAAAAAGATATTTTTATTAAATAGGTAAATATTAAAATAATTTCTCATGCTAAAAATTGACTCAAAAATTAGTAAAACAAAGAATTTGTTTAATTTTCTTAAAATTTTTTTAAAATAATTTCCAATAAAAAACCTGTAGTGCCTGAATATCACCTTCAAGTTCATCACATTTAATTGACTTATCATGTAATAAATCAACATCAATGCAATTATTCCAATAAAGATTTATGTGATTTAAAAGAAATTCTGATTCGGAATATTCTGAGGAAAGTTGCTAAATTTTTTTTTTAAATTTTTATTTAAAAAATTCAAAAAAACCTCGAGATGTCTATCCAACCCAAAAATAGTAAATTCATCTAAAATGTCAAAAAATTAATTTAAAAAAATTATTGTTTACATTGTAAAGCTACTCGTTGATTCATATCACTACTTGAATGGACCATTACATTAATAAACCTTAAAATTAAAAAAATTTTTTCTAATTGGATTTTTTTAAATTTTTAAATACAGAAAGGGGGCGAAAAAAAGTAAATTAACTATTGAAATTTTGTGAAGGGGGAAAGAGCAAACTCTGTCTTAAGTAAATGATTTTCCAAAAAAATTAAAATATTTTTCCTAAATAAAAAGAATAAAATAAAAATACTTAATGCAAGACGCAAGAAAATCAACATTTACACCAGGACATTTAAAGCACCGAACTAATGTTTGGAAGCGAAAAATCTTTAAAATTAATTTTTAGAAGATGTAAAAAATTAAAAAAAACCTCATTGTAAGCACTTCTAAATTTATTAAAAGCACCAAGTACAAGTTCATGTCCATCTGTTAAAGTGACAATCGCAGACAACATATCTAGCACCAAAGCTTTTGTTCTAAAAAATAATTAATAAAAAATACGATAGCAAAAATTGAATGGAAAAAAAAGATTGGCGGATCTGTATTTGCTCTGTACAAACATTCTACTCTGTAGAATGTTTGTCAAAACTGACTGATAGAGTTCAAAATATATAATGGAATTCTGACAAGGAACCATTCCGAACTACCACCAGAAATTTTTTGATGAAACATAAACCATTGTGTAGAGCATGATCGATAGACTATTCCCTTTTTTTCGTTTCGGCCCTACCCCCCAAAATCAAAAAGTTATAGGGCTTCAAAGTTTTCGAATTTTGGAGCGGTTAAGTCGCCCTCACTTTTCTTATTATTTATCTTCCTAAAGGAAAAAATGATAAATCCAGTTGTAAAATAATTCAAATAACACCCTAATATAAACAATCATCAATTTTGAAAACAAAACAAACTTGAAAGACGGATGTAAAATAGCTCGAACAATACAATAAATTGCTTGCCGATTTGAAAATACAGCAACTACTCCAAACTTAAAAAATTTTTTTTTAATTTTTAAAATTAATAAAAAACCTTATTATTCAACAGAGCACGTAAACAACAAATTCCAACATGTATATCATCATCAATATGGTCAATACCTTTACTTGATGAATAAAGTTTACGAGAATTGTGTGAATCTTTAAAATAGAAATTTTTTTAAATTATTTAAAAAAAATAAATTCAAAGAAAATTAGAGCTTTAACACGTCAAGCTAAACTCCTCTAAACGTCGAGCCCAGTCCTTCGCAGTAATAGAAAAATAATCCAAACTAAAATTTTTCACATAAAAATTAAACCGAACTGCTAAAAAGCCAAAAAGATCATTTTAGAAAATAAACGTTAAAAGAGATAACAAGTTGACGGTGTCATAGTTAATGATTCCATTTTGAAAAGGCGAGAAAGAGTCTAGCTAGATTTCGTATATATTGTGTCACAAATATCATGGATAAAAAATAATAAAAAATATTTAAACAAACTTTTTAATTTTCCAGAAGTAAAAGACAAATCATCTTTATTATTTGAATAAATTGAAGAATTCATTGTTGTATTAGTATTATTATTTAAATTTGTTTGTAAAGAACAAGTAGAAGAACCTCCACTTGTACCAAACTGATTATGAGTCCCTCCCCCTCCTCCTTGTTGCTGCTGCCCTCCTCCAGAAGATACATTAGTAGAAGAATTGATAAATTGAATATTAACTGCTGTTTGAGAAAAGGAAAGGTCTGGATTTGATGAAGATGGAACAATTCCATTTTCTTCAGAAGAATTTCTTTAAAAAATTTTCAATAGTTTAAACTCACAAGGAGACATTTTGAACTGTCTGCGAAAATTTTGTAGTTTTATTGCACCATCGTGAAGAGCATGGTCGATAACCTATTGCCAATTTCTACAAAATTTTCACATACAGTTCAAAATGTCTCCTTATCAGATCATAAAAGATTTAAAAAAATTTTAAAAAATAAACTTAAAGATTGAGACAATAAAGCCTTAAAAGCCTAACTTAAAAATGATTTTGAATAATTAAAAAGGAAATAAGAAAAGTTCAGAATTTTAGTCAAATTTAGTAGAACTTGTTAGTTAAAAATGAGAAAAACAAATTTTAATCGGTTAACAAAAGTAATAACAAAAATAACCCCTACAACAAACAAGAAAAAATTTTTTCTAGAAGGGCTACATATCTATCCTTTACTTAATTAAGTTGAAAAAATTTGAAAACAAAAAATAAACAAACATTAAAACAGCAAAAAGAGAATCTTGCAAAAAAGAAATGTAGTCAACCAAAACACGAAGACCATCACCTTAAATAATTGTAAATTTATTTTTTTAATTAATTAAATTTACATTGAGGGGCTAGAAAAGCCCTAACCCAGTCAATTGTGTTTGTTCTAAGTGAGATCTAAAAAGTTATAGGAATTAAATATTTAATTTAAAAATTAAGAAAAACCTCAATATGTTTTAGGAGCGTTGTTGAAGACTCGCCAGAGAGATATTTTTTCTTCTAAAAATTATTATAGTTTATATAAAGAAAAAATGATAATTTTAGAGGTTTAAAATAATTAATTTCTCAATTTTAAATTAATAAATTTACTAAAAACAAAAATTCACTTTTAAAAAAAATTCCAAAAGAATTATTGACTGAAAATATTTTTTAAACTTTTGAACTTTACTGGAGGTTCCCTTTAATTTTTCTTTATTTTCCATTAACAGCTAACATAAATCACTCAAAAAGGAATTGAATTTTCATTTGTGACTTTGATGAAAAGATCCGTTTGATTGACACTTTGAGGCTTGGCTTTCTCATGGAAAGAAAGCTTGAACTTCTTTAAGGAAAATAAAATGTCAGAAATATACGGGGAAAAACCCCAATAAACTTCAAAATACCATTTCCCAAATTTCAAAAAATTGAAAAAAACCTTTTTCAAAGTCTTCCTATCCATATAGATTTTCAATTTTTCCAAATAAATACTCGGATCTGGCACAGAATGATCGACAGAAAATTTTCTCTGGTCACAGACTAAATCCCATTTCTTCTTAAGATCGCAATTTCTCAGAGTTCGCATTTTGTCTGGAGGAAGGTCCATTTGTTTCTAAAATGAAAAAATAATTAATTTAGACAAAAATAAATAAATACACAAAAGGGGATCAAACCTAGGTCCTTAACAAGAAGAAAATCTAACATTTTCCCAGAAATAACAAAAAATTGAAGTTTAAAATTTTAAAAACTAAAATTTAATTAAAAAAAATATGGTAAAAATAAAAAGATAAAAATCAATAATTTTCACTGATTTTTTCTCCAATTTTTATAGAATTGACTAAATATTTAAATGATGAATCATTCAACAAAAAAAAGTTGTTCCGCCTCCATTTTAGAGAAAAATAACCAAAAAACAATTTTTAACAAAAATTTAATTTATTGGAGAACCAAAATTTTAAAAGAGGTAACAATTTGTCAAATTTCAAGGAAAAATAATTATGAAGATTGAGGTGTCCGGTTTTGCAAAAAAATTTAACGGAACTTTCCTTTTCAGTGAATGAATCAAAAAAAAGATAAATTCTAAAGGAAAATTCCGCAAAAGTGGGCATCTCAATTTTAAAAGTACCGTAAAGAGGCTTTAAAGAGCCCTTAAAATTCCAAAAAAAAATACCAAAACTTCTTCAAAAGCAGCAAGTACGACAGATTCAGGAGGCATAGAATTACTTCTTTCCAAACTAGAATGTTGCTGTTGTTGTCCACTTAAATTCCCCACTCCATTACTTGAAGAAGATGTTGCTGAATGGTAATGTTGGTGTTGTTGTCTTGGATATTCTTCTATAGACATTGCTAATGAATCTGCACGGTTTACCATAATTTTAAAAATAAATTAAAAGTTTTGTCAAAATAGTTTAACTGAAAAGAAATTTTTGTTTAAATTTTTTAAACCTTTTCCCTTCATTTTCGGGTAAAAATAACAAAAAAAAATTTTAACGAAAAATTAAAATAAAAAAAAAACAATTTTCCTTGTGGCAAATAAAAAAAATAAAAATAGTATTGTGGAGAGAATAAAAATAAATAAAAATTATTTTTGGCATAATGTATTTTTGTGTAAATTCAAAAAATCAATGAATACCTCACAAGATGTTTTTTTGCTTTTTAACTTGAAAAAAGAGTAAAGGTTTAAAGATGATTTTGGTATCAATCGATAGAGAATTAAATTCTTTATAAGGTATGCAATTAAACAAAAATTTAGTTTGTTAAACGAAAAAAAGTTATGACCAAAAAACGAATTTTTAAGAGAGGAAAATGTCAAGTCTTGGAAGGTTTTTGGCCCTAACTTAACTTTATTTTTCATTTAAAAATTTTAATTTAATTTTATAGACAAATTAATTCTCTATCGATCATTACCAGCTTTAAAAAACAATTTATATTATTTTGAGTTCGTAAATGAGCGGTCTCGGTCTTTAAAATGGGTGGTACAAAATGGGGGTGGTCAGCAATTTATTTTCTTTATTTCAAAATAATAGACAAAAAATTTCTTCAATCTTTTCTTTTTTTGAGTTTTTAGTAGTACCTAATTGCTCCTCAAAGTTAAATAATGTCAGAGGAAAAAAGTGTATGATGAAAATACGGCGTTTTTAAAAAAAGTAGGTAGTTAAAAAATGAGGAAGAGAGAAAGAGCAATTATGTACTTCTATATAGAGCAGTTGGTGGGGTTGAAAAAATAAGTAAAAAAATATATTAAAAATATAAAATTAAAAAAAAAGTTTATTTTATAGAAAATATTAAATAATTAAATTTTGTAAAATATTTATTTATTGTTTGTTGTTTTTATGAAAGTAAAGAAAATAAAATTTTAAACTATTTAAAACATGTTAAGATATTAAAAACAAAACAAGAAAAATATACTAAAAGAAAATTTTACAATTAAAAACATTAATTAAAACAAACTAAAACATTAGGAAAATATTCAGAACATTATCAAAACATCAAAAAATAAAAAATCAGAAAAACAAACATCCAAACAAATTAAAACTTAAAAACAAAATCAGAATAAAATCAAAACATCAAAAATTACTAGAAATAGAACATGCTTAAACATTAAAAATAAAATCAGAACATGATAAAAACAAATTAAACAAAACCAGAACTTAAACTAAAATATTAAAACAACAAAACCAGAACAACACAAATAAAAATCAGAAAAACAAACATTCAAACAAACAAAAACTTAAAATCAAAATCAGAATAAAATCAAAACATCAAAAAACAAATAAAAGAATAAAATCAGAATTAAATTAGAACAAACTAAAAATACAACAATTTTTAATAAAATATTTAAGATATGTTGGCACAGAGTATTTTTGGCTGATCGAATTTATTTATAAAGGAAAGTTAAAAAAATTCAATGAGAAAAAAATAAATATAAGAGGATGGGGCAAAATAAGAGAATTTATATTTTTTAAAATGTTTGGTAAGGGAAAATATTGTGTGACTAATTCCCAACATTTCCGCATCCCTTTCCGTTTTCACCTTTTGACGTTAAAAAGAGAAGAAAGAGGAGATGTGCACAATTCAATTTCGATCAAGTAATTACCATTGTGATATTTTGAAATGTCAAATTTAGAGAGAAAAAGAATTAAAAAAAATTTTTTCTATAAAATTAATTTAATTAAAAAATATTTATTATAAGGTGCTCCTCCGTCGTTACGTTACGGCGCCTAACCATTACGGCACAAAACTAAATTTTGAAACAATAAAGAAATCTATTAAAATAAAATTTTGTACAGATATCTCCAATATTTTCAAGTAAAAAGTATAAAAATTTCGAAATATTTAGTTATTTAAGTAAAATTTAGTATTAAAAATTAAAAATGTTATGTTGCGCAGACCTTTATGGCGCGAATTTAAATTTTGGCACACTGCCAAAACCTAATTTAGTGAAATTTTGTACAAATATTCTCTATAGAGTTATTTAACTTAGAGAAAAATTTTAAAATTTTCTGTTCAGTATTCAAAAAATTATGGTCACAAAACTACCATAACCTCATCATTATACAAAGGTTTACATATTTCATTCAAAATTCTAAAAATCTTATAACACCTAAAAATGCTTAAATATACAAAATTCCATCCAAATTTATTAACTATCTAGAATTTTTAACAAGCCCTCGAGCCGTAACGGTTCTGCGCCGAAAACACTTTCGTACTCATTTTATTTAAATTAATTTATAAAAAATGTTTACAATTTTCTCGAGAAATTTTATAAAAAAATGAAAAACAAAATAAAAATAGAGAGAACGATGAATATGATGAAAAAAAGTACTTTTCAATTGTTTATTTTTGTCATTTACTGAAAAAAATTTTTTCTTAATGAAAGAGAGAACAATTAGAATATATTTAATGATTAGTATCTCTTTAAATGAACACTCTAAAAAACATGTTTTTTAAACTTTAAAAATTGTTTATTCAGCAAAAAATAAAATAAACAATGATACAATATAAAAAATATTTTTGGGGATTAAATAAATTGAGATAAGAAAAAATAGGGGTTTAAAAAGTGTATTTTTAATAAGGAAATAAATTTTGATTGAATTCTGATTTTTAAGGTAAAATATGTGTAGAGTTAACATGTGTAAAGGTAGGATTGTTTGCACGTAAAATCGAAAAATTGCCTATTTAAAAAATATAAATATGAAATTAAACAGAGATAATTATAAGAGCGTTAACTAATTATTCTGAAAATTTCAGAATTTTCTAAAATTTATTTCAAAAGTTATGACCAAAATGATAGAAAAAGCGCTAATTATTCTGACTTCTTTTGGCCATAAATTCTGATTTGCAAAACTAAAAATTATGAAATTTTTGGCGGGGTTAGATAATAATATTGAAAATAATTCTCCAAAATTTTAGAATTTTTTCTTGACATGTTCATTCTATGATTAAAAAAGGCAACTTGTTTCTCCTATATTAGTAGTGGATTTTTTAATTAATTTTTCCTACTATCCAAAAAATACTTTTACGTTCTAAAATGATTTTTCTCTACTTTTTCCCATCTAGATATTAATATTAAAACCGGATTTGGACATTAATTCAAAAAATATTTTGCCAAAAAATTAAGCAGATTAAACGACATTTTTCATTTTTAACGTGTTTTAGAGGGCATAAAATAGTAAAAAATAAAAATAAAAAAATCTAAAAATATAGCTACGAGCGATAATAAGCGTACTTGGATATATACTACTACAAATAATACTAACAACCTCCTAAGCAATTTTCTTTGAGGGATAAAAAGAAAAAAATGAAGAAAAGCAACTGCTGCTTTCCGCTATTCGCCAGAAGGTCACTTTAAATATTTTTCTGTTTCTTTTTTATATTTTTTGATGTCTAACAATGGACTAAGGATGTTTGAGTATTTTTTAGAAGGATTTTTATATTTTAAAAAATTAGGGAATTTTTTTTTAATTAAGAAAAAAGTGAGGGAAATGCTAAGGTGAGTCTTAATGAAGGGATTTTGCTGCCTAGAAAACTTCCCAAAATTTTTCCAAAATTTTTTTTTATAAAAATAGGACGACTCTTTTTTCCTAACAACATTAGAAAAAAATATCTTAAATTTATATCTAGAATAGGGATGAGGAAATAAAGAGAATTATCTGTATGTCATTTATTTTATATAAAACAGCCTGGATATATACATACTATTTCCGTTTACGGGCAGCTATATTTTTTATTTAAAATTCTCTGCAGGTTTTTAAAAGTTTGAATAGTCTTTTGTTTTTCTGAATTTTAAAAGTATTTGAGGGATTTTGAAATAATTTTATATATACATGTAACTAATGTTTAGATTTTGATTCTGCCAAGTAGTTCGACAAAATAAGTGAATATATTGGAAGGAACAAGACAAATAAGTATAATAGATGTGTTAAAAATATTTTTAAAAATGCCTTTAAAATCTTTTTTTAAATTGTTATACAATGAACAAAATTATAATCCAAAAATTTTTTTTTACAAAACAGAAAAGTTTTAAAAATTTGCAAGCTTAATTAGCAAAAAATATTTACTTACAAATTACAAAAATTTGCGTTAAAAATAATAAAAAAAATAAACTTTAAAGTTTAAGTTTATAAAATATAAACTAGTGTTATTTAATTTAATCGGCTATAACTTTTTTATGCTTAATCAAATCAGAATGGATCACATGTTTTTCGAAAGTTCCAGATAGGCTCTATCCTTTCCCATCATTAGAAAGTTAAATCTCGATGTTTTTTTACACGTCGAATTGTAAATTTTTAATAGGCGATCAGCCTTGATCTATCCAGGTGGGAAAAAGATAGCTCATATCGAGACTTTTGAATAAGAATAATTTGGATTGGATCAAAATTAGGAAAAAAGGAAAATGCTTAACACAAGAGTTCTATTGTTTTATTACTTTAACAATTAGGGGTTTTTATTAATTTTAAAGTAATTTTTTGTTATTAAGATTAGTTATGTTCAACGCTGAAATTAAAAAGTAATTTTCAACAATTACTAGTACACATTTAAAACCTAAAAACATTATTTTTTTATTTATTATAATCTTTCCATAAAATTTTTTTATAATAAATTCACCTTTTTTAAGTAATTACCTCTGACTGAATCCGCAACTTGCAACAAATATAAAATCAAGTTTTTCTTCACGCATTTTGGCTCCAACTTTGATTTATGCTGTTAAGTGTTCTATTTAAATAAAAGCAGAATATTCTTTATTTTATTTATTTTTTACAATTTACGTAACACAAATTTAAAAACAATAAAATATATTAATTTTAAAAATCAGAATTAATAATAAAATAATCAGAATTGTAAAAAAACAGAATTTAAGTTCAAACTTTAATTTTAAAAAT